GGAAGAGCTGAAGCACCTTAAACTCAAGGTCTTTGTGGATAATACATGGCTCTTCTCACTCTATCCACCACTGTTTTGGCTCTTCGTCTCTACCTGGTTGGCCACCTCTAAAGGTGCCACAGGACTACTCATTTTTAAAGTTACAGACCAACACAGCTACCCTCCGAGACAATTCAAAGGAAAGACTCGTTCAGGAAATGTGATCTCAGGAATCTGTTCCATTCTCTGTTTATAACTAGAACCAAATGTAGAAGTTAACAACTAAATATGGCTAACCTCCTTCCCCTTTTAAAACCGGGCCTAGGTCATGAGGTGTCTTCACTTCTCAGTTATAAGGGATCATAGCTCAAACCAGTGAGTTAATCAGTCTTCAGATGGAAACAATTTAGTGTATAGATATTAGAAATAAATTGTATAGATTTGATTAATGAACAGTTACTAGTTTATTTTAATTGTGTGTAACTTAAAACCAAAATAGTGTGAAAATATTATCTGCATTTGAAATATTTCTTGTTTGGGAAAAATACTGCCTCTGGTGTGCTAATTCTTTTTTCAGACAAGCACAGGCACAGGCACATCTTGAAGTCCTTTGGATTCTCTGTTTATAAACAGGTTATTTAAGGATTCTTTTTTAAATTTTTTGCTTTACCAAACAACCTCTGTATTCAGACTGAAATTTATAGGGGAAAAAACCATCTCATTAAATGATGCCTTTAAATTTCAAATACAAGTTTAGACAGCTGTCAGGATTCAGTGTTGGTACATATCAACTTACCTGCATACTCATAGAACCATTCTAAGCACCTCTTACTTGAAAAAACTTCTTCCTCTGTCTTTATTCTAGTTGAATCATATTTTCTATACATGCTAAAAATGGAGAAAATAATAATTATATTTTAAAAAATGGCTTTGTAATCAAGACACAATTAGCCAGTACAAATGGCAATATCATTTTCCCAATATGGATAGTTTAATCTTGGAGCTTCTGTTTCTCAGGCTTTATTCATTTCATTTGTGGGGGGAGTATTTTTGGAAATTTTTGAGCTTTCTGTAGATATAAAAATGGTGTATACTGTAATGAGTAATGTGTGTGTGTGTACACACACACACACAATAATATATACTGTAAGGAATAATCTCTTTGTAACGTTAGTGTGCTGAAGAACGCAATACTGAAGAAGCAGCACTACATGAAAGCATACTATGGAAGTTTTAATGAACATCAATAAAGGCTAAACAGATTTGTTAATGCACAACATACAAATGCACTTTAAAAATCACACTCCTTTAGTCTGCGTTACTGATCTATGGAGACAAGCCCTTGGATACACATAACGTAACCATCTCCAGGTTCACTGCATAAACACCAGTTTATTTTCTTTTATTTTCTCTTCTTTTCCAGCATCAGGGATTTTATTGGTGTTTAGGTAAAATCCAAAGCCCTGCTTAATCTTAAGCATTTTAATCAATATCTTGCACCTTTACACAACTATTGGTAATGGAGTAAGCAACAAAACTAAATACTAGAAATATCAAATATACAAATTAGGGACGTAAGCAGGTAACTGAGTATCCAGCAGATCCCCAGCTCTGCACGGCCCCCTGCCCCCCCCCCCATCCCCATGCTGCTGCCTCTTTCCACGGGGCGCGCAAACCCCATGCAGACAGGGGCTGCTGCCACCCCATGCTGCTGCCTCAATATCAGAGACACCAGCACAGGACAGCAGGCAGTTGATCTACTCCCGGAACTAAGTCAGAAGCAGAAGAGTGATGGAGCAAACCCCATGCAGACAGGGGCTGCTGCCACCCCATGCTGCTGCCTCAATATCAGAGACACCAGCACAGGACAGCAGGCAGTTGATCTACTCCCGGAACTAAGTCAGAAGCAGAAGAGTGATGTGCACTGGGTCCAGGCTGCTATGGACAGAGGCTGCTTCATGGTAGTAGCCCCTGACCACAGGGGAGCCCAGCTGTGTGAGCAGGGAGCTAGGCCCCTCTACCGACAGCAGCTGCTGCTGGGGCCCAGCCCTTG